ACATGTTATTTTTAGAATCCATTTCAATACAAAACTTAATGTTACAAGAACTGTCAACTTTTTTTAAGATCTTATACCTGTACCCATTAATTCACCGTATCACGTACATATTATTCTACTATATGCGATTAAATAATTACAACTCGGATGATTGTAAAATATACAATGTTCATGGTGTAGTCACCTGTTTACGAGTATCTGTGATGTATTTATAATTGATGCTCAATTTGTGTAAACTGCAAATAATTACTCTATGCTGTATATTTTAGGTAATGATATCTGCATCACTGGTGGATTGCATATTATGTATAATTATTCGGTAAATGCATTCCGCTTCGTTCCCGTGTTCCTGTGTTCAACAGTATACGAGACGAATATTTTAATAATCGTTTAGAATGTGCCGTATGCGACACATGGTGTCATTTGTCTCATTGAGAAATCAATTAATTAACGCTTATTAAACTGCGGTGTTGGCCAGTGTTGGGTTTCGGCTGAACATGAACATTTTTACAATTTTTACAATATTTATCATAATATTAAATGCACTAAAAATACGAAATAAGACTTAAAAATCTTAAAATTAATAAATAATTTATGGAAATGTTCTAAAATATTATGTCACTAAATAAATTCATTTTTTATTTGAAAACATTTAAGAAACGTATTTCCAACTGATTTATAGATTACATAAAGATCAACCAAAAAAAAAATGTGCATATATACATACATACATGCATACATACATAATACATACATACATACATACATACATACATACATACATGCATACATACATACATACATACATACATACATACATACATACATACAAATCCAATTTCTAACTTTGACACCTACTACTATCAGCAAAAAAAAACAAAATTATTATGTTTCAAAAATCATCGTGTTTACCAATACGAAGATTTTATTTTAAATATTTTACAATCAAAGTACGTATATTCATCTTAGTACATACTATTTACTAATACTATTTACTATTACTAACACATAATATTTTTAAATCAATTTTAACTGATGACCACCAAGTACTAAACATAAATATTATTATGTTTTATTAATTAATCAGTTGTACAAAGTTTTCAAGTACTTTAATCGTTTTTTTAAATATGATTGTCTTAAAAAATTATGAGTATCATATACTAAAATATTCCTGTCCTTCGTTTAAATTTACCTGTCAGTATGGTTTAAAATATTAAGAAACTCATTCTTATACAAAAATTTGTTCTTCAATAGGTTCAAAGCATGATTAAATATTTTAGTAGTCCAATGATTACAGATTTTATGAACTATCGTATTAGGGTACAAGTCAGATATTTTATAACTAATCAACTAATCTATTCTTATATTAGGGTAATTTAAAATCAATAGTTTTTGAAACTCCAAAGCCCAAGCTAAGCCTTGTATATTATTTTTAAGGTATAATAACTGGTATAATACATCTTAGTAAAACAAATGGAATTAAAATAACTATACGAAATAAATATTTTTTATAATATAATAATTAAAAGTTATTCCCCAACGCAGTCATGTACCTCTTTTGCCTTTACACTACGCCGTGTTAAGTAATATTATCTTTTAATACAAAAAATACTGCCAAAAACCGAAGTGAAAATTCAGATTAATCAAGTTTGTATCCGACGGTTTTAAAAAGTTGCTGTAAAAGGTTGCTGATAAATAGAAACTATTATCATATCATCAAAATCATTTAAGGTACGTTCATAAATTATAAGTTTAAGGTTTACAATAGTTGAATAGTTGTGTGAATTTTAGCAACATTTTTACAATTAAATATTTGTAATTAAATATTTGACGGTTTGCTGTAATATTATTCAAAATTATGTACAAACTGTTATCTTACATGATATTAGATTCAATAAATTGTTATTTACAATTATCAGAGTCGCTCTTAAGACAAAGCAAGGCCAAGCCGCCCAAAGCAAACAATTTTTTTTAAAGTAAGGCCAAAAATGTGATACAAATATGCGAGGCTCTGGTTCGCTGGCCCATACCTAAGGACGGTTCTGGCCTATTAGATGTATGTATTATCGTTATAGATATTAAATATCTTGGCAAAATAATAATATACGTAGTACTTACCTTCAAAAATATTTTGGATTTGATAAAATGATGAATTATTAACTGTATTTATTTATATTTTATATATTAATATAATTGTAATTATCTGTAGAATATATTAATATACACTTGACTCGGGCTATATACCTATATATTATGTACAATTCAGTGGAAAGTGGTTACCAATTTTGTAGCTAGCTTCTAAATAATTGTTTTTTATAATCTAGATTTTAAGCACTTATTAGGTAAAATTTCATCCTCGAAAGAGGTTCAAATAAAATGATTTTTCGTAGTTTCATTTCGGAATCTGAATTAAAAATAAGTGAGGTACAAATTCGATTCAAGGCATATTATAATCATTCAAATACAACATTTTATTTTGCATGTTTTTGTATAATAAAATTGAAAAATAGAAATAAGAGTTTAACAATCAACTATCGAATATAAATTAAAAATCTAGATACATTCCTGATTTACAAAAACTGTAAAAATCTTGTTCCCACGAGTAGTGTAAGTGTTTAAGACATACCTATATAGCTCCGTGTCAAAGCATTTTCAGTAGTCAATTATCAGTACTTATTTGCAACAACTGTACAACGAACATTACAGATTATTTATAATATAGTCAATGTATAACTATATATAGTCAATATAACTATTAACTTTATTTAGGTTTTAATTTAACTTAACTGAGTTAAAAAATATCATTAACTTGCCTAGCTTTCCAAATATCACAATACAATATCGTATGTAAAATAAATTGTCTTATCGAAATGTAAAAATTCATTGTTAGCACAAAGTTTAAATAATCATAAACAAAATGCAATGTAATATAATATTAAATTATACATGAGGGTGATTCGCCAAACATGCTCAGTGCTCACTCCAATTTTTTCCTTCAACGCTGAATTTATTCAAATTTTGATATTTTGAATTTTTAAATATACACAATGGCAACTTATTCAAATTCTTGAATTTTTTGGCACCACTTAAAGTGTCCTGTGGCGTTACAAAATATTTTTCCAAATTAGACCCCCCCCCCCCTTTGACTGTAATTTATTTAGTGCACATTATTTTCAAATATTGTTGGTGTAGGTACCTGATTCAAAATTCGAATGATAAGTTTCTTAGCTATTATCATGCTTGTGCTTAGTATTACAATATACGATACTGTTAGTCTCCACTCGATGGTTGTAACCCTCCTGCCTGTCAGTGTATAATATACCTACATGGCTATATATTACTATGCATTACGATCAAATAGAAGTTTTACCCCTGTGAATTTTAAATTGTTTTTAATACAAGATAGTTAATACTACCATGCAAAACGGTTTTACGTTTTCCGAAGAGGCATCAGAGGAGTTGTTGCTCTCCGAAGTGAAGGCGTCCAAAAGTCAGCGGCCCCCTGGCCAGCAGACAAGGCGACTGGCGAGGCGACGTGGGGTCGAGTAAACGTATTTATTATCAAGCGATTAATCAATAAATAAAATAAAAAGTCGGTTAACAGTTCAATAAGAGTCAAAATATTTCTAAAACTGTATAAAGTACGGGAAATGATAAAATAAAAATTGTAAGTATATACATTTCCAGTACCTACGGTTAGGTATTTGTTTTTTTAAATTACAACAAAAATCGTTATCCTCGGTTGAAGTATGTAATTTAGTCCAAATTTGAACTTAAAATAATTATTAAAAAACTGTATTTATATACATATTACATTATTACATAATTAAATTTTTAGTTATAGAAACAAATACTTAACATTGATTTAAATGTTCAATCGTTAGCTACATAAGATGAACATTTTATACATTTTTAATTACAAAATAATTTGTAAATATTCAATTTAATAAATGTTGTCAAAATTTGAACTTAGTGTTACGACCTGAGCTGTCTCTGAATTGTCAGAATAATGAGTTCCTTCAGCGAGCCGCTCTAATGCTCTATATGGATATATTACCGTCACTTATCATAAAAGTGGTAACCTAAACAAACTCGATGCATAATGTGTAAGAATTACAATGCAGTGAATCCTATACGGCTATCCTTAATATAATCATAGTATAAAAACATTATTCAGTAAACCTTAACAGTCATACCGTCAAGAACAACAATCACGACAATTACGTACATTCAATAATTATTTATTAATTATTATAATTTATATTTATTTAAATGATAGGGAAAAACAAATTTACCAAAAAAATGTTTAAATTTAAAATTAAATATTCTTTCAGAATATTAACTAAAATTAAAAAACACATATACTCCGATTTAATATACTTAAATATTTTACAAGAAATATTAAGTTATTTCTTAAAATGTGTACATAAAAATATTGTGGTCAATTAAAAACTTTAATTTGTCTGTGGTAAACAATAACAAATGGTTAAGTTGGCTGCCTAATATAATATATTTACAACAAATATAAAAATTATTAATTCAAAATAATATAATTAATTATAATCAAATACAAAATAATTTTGCTTCAAACATTTTGAACAATTTGTAATACATTTATGAAAACCCTATAAAAATTAGTAGTTTTTAAGAAGTTCATAGATTCCGGTACATATATATATATAAAATAAATATTACTAATATATAAAGTAAAATTTGAGCAATAATATTAAAATTAATTACAAAAAAAAAAAAATCGAAAATATATTTGTTTTATTAGAGATATTCTAGTTACTCGGTAATTACTTGATGACCGACTACCTAATATCATATTTACTATTTAGTAACCTTCCAATACCTGGTTATCCCATGTATAACAAAAATATTTTTTCCCAACCTACACTCAGTTCAATTTTTAAAACATTATTACCCGGAACATCTCTAATTTTTACTACTACTTTATTATCAAAAGTCAAAAAACGTTATTGTAGTTTCATTCAGTCAATTATCAGTCATATACCCTGTTGGCTGTTGAATAAATAATACTATTAAAAATACCCTTTTTGTAATCAACTCATGATATGTGATAACGAAAAATTATTTTTTGAAGTAGATGTTCGCATTATTTTGTCGGCTGGTGTTACACGATTTCTTGGACCTGGTTCAGGAGTATACGTAAAAGTCAATCCTGTAGCATAGATAATACCATCATTTCTTACTAAAGACACTGGTACTTGTGTTAGCTGTTTCACCCATGACCAGTCTCCTCTAAATGAAGAGATATCTGGTACAACTGCAATCATACTCTCTTGGCAACGAAACATAGTTTCAGACTCAACATTTCCGAACCATACTTGTAGATGTGGTGTGAAATTTTCTCCACTCAGTTCTAACATAGCCACATCACCTCCACCATTAGTGTTAAGACCGTGCACTACTGGTACAGGTGTTATAGGTGAATTTACAGGTCCCATTCCTTCATAAAATTGGTATTCTGCTTTGTCTGTACTTATGATGGTCCAACAAGCTCCATCGTTGATCATTTCTTTATTTGGCCCTTTTGGACATGGTGTTGCATTAAAGTTTGTTATACGCTCTTGGGATAAACATAAATACATATGATTAGTGTCTTTCATATAAAACGCACATTTGTGCAATTGTGACACCGGATCATCAGCTTCTAGTAACGCTGTTTGTTTATCAACTTTTCTTATGACTAGTCGTGGCAAAGCCATTCCAGAAACACTGCACACTAATTTCACTGTACTACCATAATGAATGTAACCATCTCGAACATTGAACATGTCACTCTCACTTTCATCATCATCCAATAAGTAAATGATAAAAGCTCCCCACTGTGTTGAACTGGCATGGAAGGTTCCGTTTTCGACATGTAAATATCGAGTGCTCACTGTTTGTGATCTAAGCCTATTGAACAATGCCACTTTTGTACCACTAGCTATACATAAATCTGCGTTTTTTAAGGATTGTTTTTTTTTTGAAGGTTTAGATATTACTTTGATTCGTTTGCTATGGAAAGTTCCAATGTCATAGCCATTGTTGTAGAACATTCTTACCATAAGCATAAAGTGCTTGCGTTTGTCAGAATCAGATATAAATAATGTTTTAGCGGCACAATACTGTTTAATGTTATTGAGATCAAGTGGTTGCAAATCTTGATCCGCACTACCAATGCCAATAAATGCACTCATTTGAGAATTAGCTTCAGTCACTCCTTCTCTAAGTAGCTGTTGTTGACGTAATTGCCAACCGTTGCCAAAAAGATACACACATGGAGGTGGACAGAAAAAACGTTTTTCAGTGCCATAGGACTTTTGAGCAACTTTAGCATGAAGGATGACTAAAACCAAGTCATTGCGATCAAGTAAATATCTTTCCATAGCATCTTTTGTCAGCTTCTTTTCAGGTCGAATCTGTGTAGTCATTTCTAAACCATAGTGATGAGGCATTTTGGTAGAAAATAAATCCACTGTTGTAGATTCTGTACTATAGTTCAAATTCTAATCATAAATCTGAAAAAAAAAATTAAATATAAATACCCATGTAAAACATAATTCTACACATTGCATAAATTAAATAAATATAAAAAATATGATTCATAATCAAAAATTGTTCAATATTACTTTTAATCAATCATTTTCACACAATAATAAATATACATGAATTGTTAAAATTGAATCAGAATAATTAATTAAACGCATTTTAAAACTTAAATAAATGCGAAAAACATGTTTTGGTTCCTGAAACATATTCTCGGCATTTTCTGTTTACAACACACCAATTATTTATTTACTCGATTTTATATTCTATAACCAATTAGTATACAACAGGCAATAGCATTAAACAACTAAAACTCAAAATTGCAAGACAAATACATTTTGAAGCGTATACATACCAATGAAATTAACTACGACAATATTCATATCTCAATGGTTGACTAGAAATTCAAAGTAAAAACATTCCGTTCATATTTCATAAGCATGCAAAATATTGGAATGAAACGTTTCGAGTAGGTGACACCTTAGTGTTAGATTTATTTGAATATTGTTCGGCAACCAAAAACGACACAGTTGATGAATTTTTTAAGCGAGTTTGGCATAAGTAAGAAAAGTATAATAACGAAATAATTAAATTCGTTGGAAAATAGATACTCAGAGGGTACAAATAACACAATATACAGAAATACAGCAATGCTGTAATAAGTAATAACTAAAAATTTAAATAGCTTCTACAATAGATAGTTACTGATGACCGAGTGCGGATTGATTGATCAACAGTATTGTTATCAGAAAGACTGAAGACATATAATCACAATTCACAATACGATAACAACAAAAACTAAAAAGAAATAATCGAATTCGCGGTTTTTTTTCTTACGCGGCTATGCCTATAATGGGTATGTTAACATTATTATTTATTATAACAATTTACAACACAAAATATTCCGAAAACTTCATCGATTCCACTTTATAGATCTAATTGGTCATTAAAGAGCCTTGTAAAAAAAAAAAAAGAAGCAGTAAAAGTAAGAATTAAGTATTATACAGTGGCGGATTTAAGTGGTGACAGAGCCCTCCCCCACCCATTGGTCTATCAAATATGTTAATAAATTGGGCAGTTTTTAAATATTTGTGTTCATATTAAATCCAGCGTTTGGAAGGAACGAGCATTACTTCTTTTTCTATGGGAACAAGTTTCAAAAGGACCGGATTCCGGGAGAACGAATTCGTTTTTATAAAAAAAGAACGAGAAAATGAACGAGTTTTTTGTCCTTGAAAAAAAAACGAAATTTTTCGTTCCTATAGAGTCCCCATTAATACAGATATGTAAATAATTTAAATTAAAATATTTTTTTTCTTAGTGGGTATATTGCCATTTTTTATCGTTATGGAGTATCTAAATTATTATTATGGTATAAATTTATACTGTTTAAAAAATAATAAATATAGATGAATAAAAAAATAATATACTTATTCAATATCATAGCCTTAAACTTTATAGTAAATTAAAAATGTACTTATAAGTTATAGTTAAGTCGTATGTATGATTAAAGAGTTAAGTACCTAAGTATATATATGGAAAAAAAACATTGATGATTATATTTAAGAATTTTTATTTTATTTGGAACTGAAAAATGAACTTGTTCATTTTCCAGAGGTTCGAGTTCTTTTTTTTAAGGAACAAGGAACAGAAAGAATTCCTTTTCTTTAGAAATGATCAAAGAATATAACAAATTTCTTCTTGTAAGGAACTTGCCAAACTCTGAATTTAAACATTATCTAAGAAAGGTAAGAACGGTGTATGGATTAAATCGTTTGAACGGGTTAGTCTCACCAAATATTCATAGAGATATAAATGTTTAACCAGAAGCGCTAGACTTGTTTTTTAAAGAACAAAAAAAAACTAACTCTTGAGTTCTAGGCATCCAAACTTCTGTTTATAATATATTACTACCTACTTTTAGCACCAAAACCATTTTTTATTTTCATTTTATACTTCTATTATTTTTTATTACCTATATTTATGTTATTTTTAAATGTATACATTTTTGTTTTCATAATTAAAAATACATAATTTTACATTTTTTTTTATGTCAAACAGTGTAAAATATAGGTGGTCAAAATAATGCTTCAATTTTCAACTTCAACCTTTTTCGGTGGGAAAGTGAATTTGGGTTAGTGAATTAATGAATTTGGGACGTCAAAACAAAGTAAAAACGAGGATTTGTATGTATAATCAGTTTTCGGGAAAATCAGTTTTGATTTTTTATATAACTCTATACAAAAATTATCCCGGAGACATGAAATTTTCACTGAATGTTAATATTAGCATTTTCTATACACCACTAAATTTTTCAAATAATTTGACTCATGTTGAGCTATTTCAGAATACATTCTCTCTTTGCTTTTATATATATATATATATATATATACATACTTAGTTATAATATAGTTACGTCTTAGATAGAATTAGGTGTAGGTAACACAACAGATGTAGGTAGGTAATTATAATTTTAGATATAAAATTTAAAACATACACAGCAAAATATGAGAAAAAATGTATAAACAATTTATTACTTAAAAATGTAGTTTAACAAATTTTAATGATTGTGTAAATAGGTTTAAACTTAATAGTATATTACTTTGAACTATTCAATATGCATAAAAAAAAACATCAAAAACTTCGGTAACTTAAAAATATAAATTATATTACACCTGGATCATTATCAGTCTGTCATGATAACCGGTATGCCTCGGGCAACTAAAGCAGCATAGTTGAAAAAACTTCTCGCAGTATTCCTGGCAATCACTAATGTACGTAAGAGTTCTCGTTCGATGTGGTAAACCTGTTGATCCAAAAATTCTTTAGGCCATTTCTCTGAAACATTATTCAAATTAACTCAATTAAAACATTTTTTTTTAAAAATACAGAGACAAAACTAATATTACATTTATAGTTTACATTAATTATTATTATTATAATTTATTAACATTAATTTATCAAATATTAAATAATACTTAAATTGTAAAATATTTTTAATTCACCTTGAAGGTTAATGGGATTTCCGGGTAGCCAAACATTAAGCATGGCTCTGGCCGCATTGTCAGCATCTAAACTTGTTACATTCCACAACATACCAATGACACAGGGACTAAATAATTAAATAGTTTGTTAAAATTTTAAAAGTGTTAATAGTTGAGAAATTAATTACCAGCCAGCTTTTAAATATCCATAAGAAGCACCTACAAAATTAGACCTTCCTCCTTTGTCAGTATGTTTGACACTTGAACACCCAAACAACATAGGTATACACTGTAGATCTAATTTGTCTAAATCCAAACTATGCAAGTATTGTGTTCCATTGCCGTGGCCACAATACCTAAATAGGATTAATAATGTTAGGTCAGCAAATCAAAACATGATCATAATTTGATCACTTACAATAGTATGTTATTTTTTTTAAGTAAAGAACTGAACTGTTCTGAAGTAGGCTCTTGACTTTGAATGCCATCCCAGGTCACATTTCTTTCCTTGAGGAAAATTGACATTCTTTTTTCAGCATTAACCAATGATCTATCAGGGTTTAAAATGTAGTATCCTTGGTTTTTAATTTTCCTGAAATCAATTGCACAGTTAAAATATATACATGATTTATAAATATTTTTTTCATTTTATTACATTAATCCGTTTTCAATGGAATCCTTGTGTTTATGATATAACCTGTGCACAATATGTACAGATGATACACGGGAAACTGGATGTCTTTTCAAACATGGTATTGTTTCCCATGGCAAACATTCTAAATGCTATGAACCAAGAAAATCAGAAAATATAAAAATTTTAAATAATACACCTTATACCATACCTCGTCTAATATGAGCAAAACGGAATGTCTCTTTTTCAAAATTAAATGAGAACCATTTAATTTATATTTATTAATAGCAGATTCAAATTTATTCATTTCCTCTGTTGAACAGTCGACTTCTTTAAGAATGCTGTTTATTTCATCATTAGTCAGATGAACAACTGCATTTGTTATTTGATATAAAATCATTCTGCCTCTGTCACTTATAGTGATATTTTCTTCTCTGAAAATATTATATTATATATATATATAAATGAATTGTTTTACATGAATTACAATTTTCAAAAGATAAGATACAATTACTAACTCAATGACATTATCAATAACACTATAGACTTCTGCTGAAAGTTTCTCATCAATATAATTGCCCAATAACATACAAACCCAATGTTTTATCCAACTAGTATGAATTTCCTGTGAAATGCTCTATTGGGAACAATAATTTTAATAACAATTCAATTAATAATAATTTATAAGCTTGTGCTTATTTTAGAAGCTCATTTGGAGATATTTCAATAAGGGTGTGTTTACTTTAATTGATTGAGAAGCGGAATCTCTTAAACTCCGAATAGCTGACGGATCCTTATTTTGTCTGTCATTTGTATCTTCTAAGCTTTTTTTCAGAACTTCAAAGATATTCTTTTGTCCTAAACTGGATTTGGCCTTATCCACTTTTACTGTCAAAGGTTTACTTAAAATGTCATAAATAGTTATTAATTATCAATAATAATATAAATTTCAAATAAATTAAAAATATATCATACATATTCTTGTGTTTTTGACCACACTGATATCTAGATATAAACAGTTCACCAACTTCTCCAGGTTTATCTGAAGGCCTAGGAGTCACCACATCTTTGGGATTGTAGTTTTTAGTAATTTGTACTAATGTCCATTCAGATGGCATTTCTTTTAAACGTTCCAGAAGACCATTGTATCTTTTGGTTACATATTCCGAGTTCAGAGATAAACAATCATTAAGTTCTTTTTTACTAGCAGTACTAGAATAAAAATAAATGCATGCACTTATTGTTGATCAACTCAGTGAATAATTAAACAATTCATAAACAGGTTTAAAATTATTAATTGAATCACATTATAATATTTATCATAATATATTTAAGTGTTTAATGTTAATGAATAAAAATTAGTTGAACAATGTGGATAACCTTACTCTGGATGCATTATCAAAGAAAGTTTTGAACGGATTCCACCTCCATGAGCTTCAGACAGATAATAAGCAACAGAATCATACTCTTTTAAACGATAGCTGATATAAGCAGCAGCTTTATTTGTATCTGTAAAAAGTTAAAAAATTAATATACATTTCTAATGGACCATATACAATGTAGGTACTACTAGTCCATAGTGAATTTATACTTTAATGCAGTTAAACTTCATTAAATCATACAGCCATTTAATAATTATTATTATTAGTGTTTCCAGAAAAATAATCGGAATAACCAGTTATTTTATATTAAGTAGGTCCTACATTGTAGGGTCTAATACTGTGATCAGGCATGTAGCCAGCAAGGAGTATTATATACAACCCAAACCATAAACCAGTATAATCCAAAAATATATTAGATGGTAAATAGCCCTCCTACCAAGTTGTATTTAAATATTAAATTAAAACATACTCCTTTCAAATATCCTGGATACGCGAATGACTGTGTTGCACTATATTGTGTAGTGTGTACCTATACTAAATATCCTTTATATTTACCTAATCTAATCTATTTCTTAAGCTTATAAGTTTTTTTTACTGAACAGTGTTTAAAAATGGAATCTCAGAAAGAAAATGTATTCCTACATATTAGACATTAAATTATAGGTAAGTATAATTATTTATAATATATTTATTCTATCCAATTTATTAAAATATATTTTTTTATCAATTTACATAGGTACTATAAGTTTTATAATATGATGGTAACAATTAATGTATAATAGTTTTTTAT